TAGCTACGTTGACTAGCTGTTAGCTCGCTCAGCCGTTAATTCCGACATAATCCGTAAAACTAATGCAGATTTGAAAATGACCGAGCTGTAAGAAACAAACCTACGTGCAGAAGGTATATTTAATTGTTAGTATTGTAGTTTGAACGGCGGTAACATACTTGCACGACAGCAGCGGAAGTAGCGGAAGTTGCTTTTACGTCACATCGTCGCGTATTCTTCTTCTTCTTTGAATTTAACGGCGGATCGCAACCGTACGAGGAGCATTACCGCCACCAGCTGGATATACGGCTCAGAGAATCGGCTCACAACAATATACAAGGGATGGGGGGAGGAATCTGATCCACAGTCTACTCTAAATCCCTGTATCCTTTAAAACATTCATTACCACCCTAACCTGTGCCCAGAACAGTTCAGATTCAATGCCAAGCTCCTCCAGCTGCTGTACCATGGTCTCCCTGCTCGCACTATCGCCCCTGCACCATAAAAGCACATGTTCTACTGATGCCCCCTCTTGACAAATGTCCCATCTCCCTGTATCATGCTTTCCTATGATCTGTAACGTCCTGTTCAAACCACTGTGTCCTAATCTAGGCCCTGGAACAACATCTTCCTCGCTCCTGTTACCTCCTTGCCGGCTACTCTCTCCCTGTGTTCTGCTTCCGCCTCCTCTCCGCTCTCCTGTCAGCTGTGCCCACACCACCCTCGTGGCTTCATCCTTGCTGCTGATGCCTCTCATTCCCACTGTGTGTTCACTCAGCGGCCCCTGAGCCGTCCTATCACAGGAGGGTGAGCGCAGGAAGCCACAGAAGCTCCCTCACTGCCCTGATGACACCTTCTAGTGAGAACATGATACAAAACGTCCCGATGGCTGCCCGAGTTAAATGAACGGACACTGGACGGGACTGATGCAGAGTCCGAACGCACCAGAACTCTGCTCTGCCACCATCTCCACTGCACACACGGTCACCTGCTCATCTTCACACCACGACCTGGGACTACAACTCCAAAACCTGTTACCTGTATCGGGGTACAGCGTCGCGTCTGCTTACGTCAGCCTTCAAAGTAAGAGCATCATTTCTACCGATACGCAACAATAAAAGCACTGTGGTATGTACATATGGATATAAATGCTTTGTATAAAATAATTAGAAACGGAGCTAAGAACATCCAATAAGGGGCTTAAAAACAACAACAATGATAATAATCATCATCATTTAGTGAAAATATCCAATAAAACGACTCGTTTCAAAGTAAAGGTCCTGAGCCCGTGAAGCAGCAGCAGCTCCTTGTTGACCATGTATTCAGTGTCTACAGAGAAACAAGACCCAGCCTTACTCAGACTTGTTTTTGTGTGTGTTTGAATCATGGTCCATTAAAAAAGTTTTTTTTTTTTCCTTCTCGCAGAATTTGCAAAAAAAGAAAAAAAAAAACTCTTTCATGTTTTGAATTCATCATTTACAACATTGATATCATTCTTTATTATATTTATGTTTTAACAACACAACTTTCCACAATTGGTGTCAGACAGAAGCAGAGACAGTGGGATGAACAGTTTGTGTGACGCTGCAGAAGCAAACAGCAACAATCAGAGAGATCCAGAGAGCTGCTTGGTTCCCTGAAACACTGACACTCTGAGTGTCGAGTGGGAAAAACCACATGAAACATGTTGATGGTGAAATAAGTCAACAATAAATGAAGACGT